TATAATTAATTAATTTTGAACTTTTTGAATTTAAATTATACGTACTTGCATGAGCATATGACTTGGGAACTTCTGGTGTATTTGTTGCTTTCGTTTTCCAAATGCAGTTTCTGTTTCGTATTATTATTTTTCCAGACTGTTGAAGATGCTGCTTGACGATTACTCTACTGCAATTTTTTATTCATACTCGTCTGATTACAGAATAAAATACAGAAGATATGTGGGCAATAAAGTGGTTCACAAGATAGACTTCAGCAGGTATGTTTTTTAAGTATCCTATTGTAAAACAGTGATGAACTGATCAGAATACATAAAATCAACCAGTATTACTAAATAAAAATTTATTTTTACCAGAAATTAAATTACAAGGTAAACATATGTACTTTTATAGTGCTGTTAGAATTTGTAATGAACTACCTAATGAGTGAACTTACATATTACCATTAAAAGTTTCAGATGTCATACCAGATTTTGGTTAAAAATTGCATAATTTTAAATGTAAATGACAACATTTACATTTTAAATGCTGTTACTCATATTGTTCTGAATACACAGAATTAGCTGAATGTATAGTATTACAATATACAAAGGTCTACATTTGTTCATTATTATCTTCTTTGTATTCAATAACTTTGTATATCTAGTGATAATTTTGTGTGTGTGTTATTTTACTTAAGTAGAGCTATACTCTCATTTACTTCAGTTTCAAGTCTGATGAATTACAGTATCATATCTTACCATAATTTCCAGCAGTGGTATAAGGGTTTGAGAGTATTCTGTTGTTCATTGACACTCCAGATTTGGATTTATTATATCAAGGAAGGCATGTTCTTGAAATAATATAAATTGATTGGACACGAATTAATGGGGGGGGGGGGGGGTGATAATATACAAGATTAGCAAAGGTGGAATTGAGAGGGAAGTGAGAGAGAAGACCACAGGAGCCACCATGAAAAGATAACAATCTCACAAATTGTTCATAAAGTACTGATATTATAAACAATAATTTATACAGATTTTCAACAGAAACATGAAGGAATGTAATTTCCAATAATTCAATATTGGATTCCAACAGAAGGTGTCACCATGATTGTTCACAATATACTTCTTGCCCATAAATACCATATAGAATGTCTCCTTGATTGTTAATAATAATAATAAAATTATTGAGTCACTCATACAATTTCAATCGTGCATGACGAATCAGATATGATATATGCAAGTGTACATGTCTTCCTGAGCTCGAGATTTCTTACTTTCTCTTACAACACATTGTTATGAGTAAAGGTAAAAAGTAACATTTTAATCTAAGAATATAAGAAATGCTTTCCCTCTATGTGAAAGAACTGCAAGTGACATCTGATTTTGATTTGGAATACACATAATAATTAACCCTCAACTCTTCTCATGCCTAGCAGAAGGGAGCTCAAGAAGACTTTGGCAAAGTGAAGTTGATATAACTTGGCCTCACAGATGGTTCTATGCAATGTTCTTCATGAAAATTGTGTTTTGCCATGTTGAAACTCTAGCCAGTTCAACACTTAAAACTGTTTTCAAATCAGACTAGTAGAAAATCTTCCATGAACAAATTGACATAGCAATTTATTGTCAATATTAGATCTCTTCAAACATTCCAAATGTTATCCTCTTAAGTTCCCTTAAAATTGAATAGAATCTTGTCAATCTGAGGCCAGAAAGGGTAGACATGAAGGAACTTCTGAAGAATCCTTTTAATGTTATAACATAGGAAAATAAGTGTTTTATACTCTCTTAAGGGGCCTCATCATCCGGATGTTCATATTAACCCGTGATATAGAACTTTCAGTATTTCAGGAGTATTCAGTGTTTTAAATGTTAAATGATAATTGTTCGATTTTTGGCTTTGTTTCCAAGGGAATGTAATGAAATATTTTATGAAAAATACAAAAGAAGCACAATTTAAAATTTTACATAATTACAGTTATGCAATAAAATTTCCAGTAATGAATTAAAATTTAGGGGCTTGTTATCATCTGGAAATGGGAGAGAAGGAAGGAGTTATGGTATTGCTTGTTAAGATAATGTAGGGGGAAAAAATGTTTGAGTGAAGTTACAGTACTGCCCAGAAGCAAAACAAAGGGCCATCTCAGCATTTGCTCAAGGGACCAGGGAAACTGAACAAAACCTGATTGAGATAGGGTCATTGGCAATACAATACATTTGTAATCATTCTCATTTTCTCAAGATTTTGAATTGTGTTCTGTATTTGAATATCGCTGTACAGTTTTGTATTTGCATCACATGGGTGTCTCGAATATTTTTTCTTCTGGCTGCAGAATGAGAAACTTTAATAGTATTGTTTTCTTAGTATACTTAATTCGACTGAAAAGTTTTAATGGTTGCATTTTTTTTAGGACTGTAAGAACTTCTAGTTATTTGTTCGATCATAACTTGTACCCAACCAAGGGGTTTGTTTATCACAGAATGAGAAGTACTTGCCTTTAAATAATATGAACGATAATTAATTGTTTTAGTAGAACACTAATATTAATTTATTATTTGCAGTGTACCACCCTATTGTGAAGAAAAGCAGAGTGAGGACAAAACA